CAAGGGCATAAGTTGGATGACTTTGTCAAGATATTTTTGGATTATAGACCTGTAGTTATGTATAACTGTAGTAAGGTCTATTTTGTATTGTTTATGTTTTTGGTCTGTATCGGAACATGACATCCCGAGATTTTGTTATATAATGAAAATACATTTCTTTATGAAATACTTTGATAAATTTTTATCATATTCGTTTTGGGAACAAATTCCGCAACTCTTTTAATCAAAGGATTACTCTGATTTTATTTAAAAGCATAAATGAAACCGGTCTTTTATGGCCGTGATTTTGGGGATGTCACAGCCTGTACTACTGAAAGCACCGAATCTGTATGCGACTCAAGTAAGAATCTTAGGATGCTAAGGAGCGTGTATGGGTGGGTAATCGAGTGTGTGTATTGAGCTAGTCTCTAATGATTTTGTGTTTGCGACTCAAGTTGGTATCGATTTTAAGTACAAATATGATATATTTGGTAGAAACTCCAACCACTTAAATCTCTTAAATCGATAAAAAAAAATATGCTAGATCACTAAAAATGGTCATCATAGAAGTTTGAAAACTGCATTTAATATTATTTGGTGAAATAGTTGCATTAAAAATGACCAGTTTTTAATATGGGGTTTTTGTCGCATATAAAAATATATACATTGGTAGTTAGTGAACTGCATTTAGTGTTGCATGGTGTAATAATTTCATTCGGATAATCTAATTCAAATAAGCATGTCATATATATATTTTGTGAAGGTATGGACTATTGATGCATTCTCTGTAAGAAAAAAGTTAACTCACGAATATCTTATTGGTAATTAATTTCTTATTTAGAAAATAGATATTGTTACACTTTCATTCAATGTTGATTCTGAACATATATATTTTTTTAAAATACATTGTTTAAAATTGAAACTCTTTGAAATTATTTTTTTATAAAAATTAAAATCGATTGAGATTTTTTTTTGTGAGTGATCGTATGTTAGAATAATGGTTAACGGGGTTGCCCGAGGTGAAGGGTGGTGGTTGCTGGATTTCAACGGTTGTGATGTCGGTGATGAACTGTGATGGTGTGGGACCAGCCACGAAAGAAATTGAAATCATAGGGACCATTCGTGTAATTTATAAAAGCTGGTTAACGGAAGATATGTTAAAAACTAACGAAAGTGACTTAATAGACAGGTAAGTTGCAAGTTTAATGAACTATTGCGTAAAAAAAAATATTTTAATGACCAAATCGAATAAATGACGATAGTTGATTCAATTTACCTCTTAATTTAACTAATTTTCTTATTCATTTTTTTATGGGACTAAAGTGTTAATATTCCCGAAATATGAGACTTTTACGAAATAAAATCTAAAAAAATCTAACTGTAAATAGAATATGAACCCTAGATCATGAATAATAATCACCAATCACCATCGACGAAACCGCTGGTGCTGCCGATTGTCTCTCCATTTTTTTTATCAGGTAAATCCCCCGATTTGTTTTGCATCTTGTTCTCTGCTCCTTGGTGCGTGTAAATCCTCCAGATGAATAATTGAGGCATAAACTACAGCAACAAAACTCGAAACTTCAAGATTGTTTTTTTTTTATAAGTTTGGAATTCTGGTTATCTGTCCATCTTTGTCTGCGCTACCAAGATAAATTTTCAAACTTCTTGTGGTTTTGAAGAGAGTTAAAGCTATCTTGTAGGTGGAATTGACGAATGACTCTGGGTTTTACCATATTTGAGTAGTTGTGCAGCCAAACATATAGACCAAACCCCTAAACCTGTTTGTCACTCCTCCTTTGCATGGATCCTACAGGTTCCCGCAATATGCAATTAAATGTGCTGTTTTTGGTTTGATATACAATTTTTTAGGTATGGTTGTATAGTATTGTAAATTGTTTGTTTGGCGTTAAAGTGTGTACATTTGATTGTTATTTGTTTGAAGGGATGAGACGAGAAGTAGAAGATGTTGTGGAGTTGATGCAGAATATACAATCCCAGTTGACAGTAAAAGAAGCTGCCCAAACAAGCGTGTTGTCCAAGTCTTGGCTACACGCCTGGTCTACCTTCCCCAACCTCAGGTTCGATGTTGGAAGAGGAAAGAGCATGAAGTTGGTGGACGTGGAGCGCACTCTGATAAGGTATCACCATGACAACACACCAATCAAAAGGTTTGACCTTAAGATCGACATTGAGAATCAGGAGTCAGCTTCTCAAGCTGAAAAATGGATCGGGGATGTGACCACCAAAACTTGTCTCAAAGAGATTTCCCTCTCGCTCTTACTTTGGGGTGCCTCGTTTAGGTTGCCAGATGAGATATTGGCAAGTGGGAATCTAACCAAGATAAGAGTTTCAGCACCGAGGATCCATCCCAATTCCATTTGGATGACAATGACGAAACCTGTGATCAAGTGTGTGTCATCCCTACGAGAACTGCACTTGGAAGGTGTGAGCATAAGTGAAGAGGCACTTCATCACATATTGTCGTCTTGTTGCTTGCTTGAGAAGATAGAGCTTTTACATTCTTGTGAGGGGTTCAAGACCATCAAGATTAAAAACCTTCCTCGTCTTTACGAACTAAACATATCTTTCGTTAGTCTATATGAAAACTCTACTGCTTTGGAAATCAGTGATGTCCCAAAACTTGGTGTGTTTAGCTACTATATACGTGATGTTTTTCAATCACATATTCCTCTTGTAATTGAGCCATTAAATTCCCATTCAATATCAATGCGCAAGGTGAGACGATTAATGTTAGGTGATGTGATAACGGACAACACGTGTCTGGACATATGATCAAATCGGGATTTCCTTTTCTTGTGAGTTTGACACTTGGGTTGACATATTGGAAGTTGGGGACCTTTCATTTCACATCTTCTTCCATCAAGAGATTGGTGTTGCATTCGTGCCCACACACCCTTATCGACTTACAAGTACATGCTCCAAAATTATTAATTTTCGACTTGAGTGGCAACACATTGCCTAGTCTCTCGTTTCCAGTCTCGTCTCTCAAGCAACTCAGGGTTTCACTCGGAATTAAACGTCCTGTTGATGCTTCTTTTTTTCTTAATGAGGGAAGCACTCAGCTTATCACACACGTGCGACCTTGATATACAGTTTAACTTGCGACTTGACATCAACATCGATGTAGATGATCTAAGAACAAGGCTCATGTTTCCTCCTGCAACCAACGTGCAAGAACTAAGGTTTCAAACGACTAGGGATGATTGCATGTGGGAACGATCCCTGTTTTTTGATGCATTCTTTGAGATTTGCCATCCCAAGCGCGTATATGCAAAGCCAGACGATCACTTCAACCACAACAATCACTTTTGCAGACTCATGCTGAGGGAGGTCTTGGAAAAGAAGACCACCACAACCACCACCACTACTGGAATCGTGTATTGGCCTCATTACCTAAAACATGTTCAAATAAAACAGCCTCTTGATCAAAAATGGGAAACCCTAACAAATTCCCATAGAAGCTTTCTAGACGGGTCCACTCCTGATGTCTACTTGTACTTCAATCTAAACTGGTGCTAACGTTAATTACTATTTTCGTATTATACATACTATTTGTCGCAGACATATCTAGACATATAATTGTGAATGCAAGTAATTACTCGATCCCATTTGATCGACCCTATATAGTACTATTTGTTATTTGTAGCCAAACATTTTAAAGCCATTGATAAGCCGGTCAAGCTGTGGACGTGACCATTGCAAATTAAATCTGTTACATACTTAAAACATATATGATGTTTTCATATATTTATCTTAACTAATATTTAGGTTGCCATGCTATCTTGGGTATCACTTCATGTTATTTTGACTGATTCAAACAGAATTGGATGCCAATGCGAGTCTGTTTCATTTGTGAGTTTGTGGTATTTTCAGTGGTATATAACTAGTGTTCGAGTTTTCTTATAGCAATAGCCTTCGCTTAAACATTACCCTTTATGAGTAGGGGGTTATCTGGAGTTTTGTTTAATCAGTTTGATTTATTTGATTTGGTTCAATCGTTTTTTAGACATTTCTAAACTAAAAGATATTACTTTGTTTAATCGGTTATGGGATAAACCAAAGAAAAGTTTAACTTCCGATTTTCATTTATTTGGTTACTAGTTAACACCCATGGAAATCACGGTAGAGAAACAAAAACATTATTGACAATTTCAAATTGTAAAGATTAATCAAAAATTTGGTCTAATATTTCATAATTAGCGTTCATGATTTGCACGACACCATATCTTCTTTTTTATTAGTGTTAAACATACAATATATCACTTTTTTAAATGATTTTATAACTTAAATATTCTCTTTTACAAATATCCACACATTGTATTTTTCTATTTATAATAACATATTACCCACAATAAATATCGATTTAGATTACGATTTTGTTTATTATGAATAACATATTACCCATAAGTGATAAACCTTAAATTTTATAATTTAAGCGTTAGACGTAGACTTGGTTATTCTTGTGATTAATGAATATGAAGCCATAGATTTTTAGATCAATGAAAGCCTCGGGTTCCCTTTTCAATAATATAACCCCCAATCATCTTTTGGTTAACGGTCGTTTATTCTTTTTTTTTTCCCCTACAAACCGGTTACCAATTCAATTTTGAAGAGGAATTAAATATCCTCCTACTTTTCTTCCTACATATCCTCATATCCGTTAGAAATAATGACAAGTGTATTAAATTAATGATAATTTTATCCAAATATGACACATTTCACCATTTTACATGGATAGGAAGATAAGTAGGAAGAAAATATAAGAGAATATTTAATTTCTCAATTTTGAATATGGGAGTAGATAGCTAAAATCATTTACATTAATAAAATTGGTGAGCAAATAAAGGAGGTAAAAATGGAAACAAGGAAAATCAAGGAGGTATAAATGGAAGATAATTTAAATGTAAATTTTTTATTAGGAGTAGAAGGGCAAAATCGATATTTTACTTTGTAAAATTCTGGGTCGATGAGATATCATGTTGCACCAAAATGATTGTTTTATTAGATAGGAAGAAGATTATATATATTTTTTTTGTTGTTAAAATAAAAGTGTCGTTTTAGTGGTTTTCACTTTCCATGTACTGCATTAGAATATATAGATACAAAGCGATGGGCTGAATATATGAGGGGCCAAAGGCTAAACCATAATACACCGGCATGGACTACTATGCTAAATACAAATACATTCATATAAATAATCATGCGTATCGATAAAATATCCACTATTAGAATAAAAGCTGGATTGCAAATCCAAAGCAAGTTTTTAACATTAAAAACACATCCCTACATTACAAAGTTGAGATTTTGTTGTGACATTAAAAACACATCCTAAATATGATTCGATACCTATTTTTAGTGTAAACCGATGCTTCCACTTATTTGTTAATTCCCTCCGGAAATCGAAGCTTCAAATTCCTTCCAGAACCCATATTGATCTACTCAATGAAATTGAAGATTTTGTTGTGACGTAACCATATTGACAAGAAATAGGAAAAGGTCAAGTCGGGTTGGATTTATCCACCAAACAAGTTTTTGTCTGTTTTTAAGGGGGTGTTTGGGATTAATTATTTAATGTAGTTATTAGATTATTCTGGTTTGACACGGGTGATAAACACTTTTAAGTAAAGATGTGCGTTTGGACCGAAAAAATAAATCGGAACCGATACCGACCAGTACGAATAATGTTTTTGCCTCTTATTTCGTTATCGGCTTTAGGCTTTACCAGTTCAAAGGAATCGGAACCGGAAATCTATAGATTTACTTGTATTCCTTCTATTATCGCATAAGTGATTTATGGTGTCAAATTCTTCTATTTGTCTACTTCGCTACGGTGTAATCATCACAATTGACATATTGATTCAAGTATGTAGAGCTCCCTCTTCATATTGATCACCTAATAACCCCTACATTGTAAAAATAACCAAAAAGTACCAACACCTCCTTCATCAAATAAACAATTCACCATGGCTTACTCACAATCTCACCATTCTCGTGCTGCTAAAAATCATCTAACTTTGTATTACAAGACATCCCAAATTCTTTTGCCAATTTGAAGTGAGTCAAAACTATTTGAGCACAATAGAACTTTATAAAAGACCTTATATGTTGATAACCAACATGGAAGATGCTTTGGTTGATGACAGAAATGGATTTTTGATCAATTACACACAACAACTTCAATTAAACCACAAAATCATTCAGATTGATCGCGGGGAAATCTGCAATAGTAAACTCTGACACTTCATTATTTCCCATGATGAATTTATATTTGTAGTTCTTAAGAGTTTATTCGAAATGAACATCTTTTGCAATGTGAGTTATCTTGACAATCTTTTTGATTGTCTCACACTTCGTCGTCAGGTTTTCCCAAAACAACATGAAATTGAATCTTCGATTCATTAATTTTTTTCCAAACCCACCTTGTATGTCTTCACTTGGAACTACTTGAGTGTGAATGTCATCAGATTGAATGGTAAATCTAGTTGATCTTCTATAGAATCCACCAAGGAAAACCTTTTCTTTTGCACTTTCGCAAACGCCTCGATATCTCCAAAAGCTATATCATTTATTGTTTCCGCATTCCAAACTTTTGAAATATCTCCCATATTAACATCCTTTCAAATTCTATCTCTGTCCAAAGAGCTTAATTACTTGAACCTTTCAAACTTTTCTTGTTCTAACTGTTTAATCTCATATTTCATGACTTTTTGAGAAGCACCCTTCCCTTTGTCTCGAATGAGTTCGAAGTGGACGTTATAATTGTAGAAGATATCGCACCTGTAGACTAAAAATAATTTCCTTTATAGAAAGAACTTTGTGGAAAGGTAACATGTAATGTGACCATAATTGAAGTTGAAATTGATAGCAAAGTGATGATTGGCCTTGGTCCTAAAAAAATTAGTAGGTCTTGTAGCACCAGAACGGCCTTCAACTTTCATAATAGGCCTTTGTACATAACCGGCCAATATCATAAATTTTGGTCCCATTACTTCTCTCCCTTGTGACAAGGGTTGCAAAGTAGCCCTTGGAGCATTCCCTTGGTATACAATTCTACCAAGGGTTGGATTTGAAAACGAATAGAATCACTGGCACTTTCTATTTCCTTTACAGTGTTCTCGTAAAAAGTCCAGTGTCAACACTAGTTGGGTTTTGAATGGATGTAGGAGCTAGAGGCGGAGATGCGGACGCATTATCCAGAGTTGTTCATTGATAGAGACTTCGAGGACAAAGTATGATTCAAGTGGGGGAGAGCTGTAACACCCCAATTTCCATTTAATTCAAATAGTTATAATTATGGGTCATAAAATTGAAGTGTGAGGTTATAAATTCGGATGTTTGAATTTTAATAATTAATTTTATATTTCAAGACTAAGTATAGGGGAGTATGAAATAAAATTATAAGTACTTGAAGGTCAAATCGGTAATAGTTGGAAATATGAGGAATCGAAATGAGAATTGGGGACTTAAAAGTCAGAATATTGCAAAGAGGGGCAATGGAGATATTGTTTCAAACCTAGGGACCTAATGAGAAAGGTTTTGGGTTGAATTGGGGGCCTTAGGGCCGAATTTGGTCAGCCACTTAAGGACCCTTAAACACAACTTAACACTAATAACCATATTGCTTGGATTTCCCGTATTTGAAGACCTTTCAACAGTGCTTGGACGATCCCCGACGAATGAACCGTTGAATCGTCGAGAAATTTGGCATGAGGCTTTCCAAGACATATATTGAAGTTTTGACCGTTGGAATCTAGAAGTTAAACCTAGTAGTTTAGTTACATATTTTGGGTGAAAGATTAGCCTTTTATAACCTTGATTGCTATTGTTTAAGATGATTGAAGGGTCACCCAGTGTGAGTGAGCCTCGGGCTATGTTTGGAGATTGGTCTTGCTACTTGAGGTGAGTTTCTCACTACACTGTGTTGTATTATATTTTCTTTATGTTACCTCGTGCGTACTATGTGTTGTTTATGCGAGTAGTACTATGTAGGGTAGAGTCTAGTGGTTTCCTTCAAGTATTGAGGATTATGCATGGTAGGACTCGGAACATCCGAGTGGGGATCGGGCATAGCCGATGTGTCCTAAAGGCTCGACGTACAGAGCAAGAGGGATCAGCATGGCCAATGTGTCCCAATGGGTTCGGGTACGGGGGATTGGACTTAGCCAATGTGTCCCAAGGGCTCGACTTACAGAGCAAGGGGGGTCGAGCCTAGACAATGTGCTCTAGTAGGAGTATGTATGTTTCTTATTCGTTCTTTGACATGCATATGTGGTTGTATGTTGATACTGTTTGTATCAGTGTATAAGGGCTAAGGATTACATATGATATTTTGTATGTGTGGAATTCACTAAGCTTTGTGTTTACCCAATTTCCATTCAAAATATTGTTTGAGGTAGACAGGATGGCCGTGCAAATGAGTTTCGATTCACTAAATGACTTAACTTTTGTAAATTGAAGTTGAGTTTCGATTGATTGGGTGAAGATGAATTGAAGATGGAATTTGATGGGGTCTGATATCCTTCGTTTTGTTTCTTCGGTGCTTCAAGATGATGGATCGAAAGTAGTTTTCGATTGTATCAGTTTTTGATGATGAGCGGATTTCGTTAGTATCTATTTTTCTACAATGTGTGTATGTGTATGAGAGAGAGATTACGGTGGGGGAGGGTGGGTGGGCTTTTTCTTTATTTTATAGATATTTAAATAATAAGATAATGAAAGCAAAATGTAAATCTATATATATATATATATATATATATATATATATATATATATAATATAATATAAAAGTGGTAAATTTGACCTTTCAACTTTTTCAGGACCAAAATCATAAATTTTTATTTTGAACATTTCATGTAAGTTGGAAACTTTTTTGATCTTATCCACATATTTTTACAAACCACAAGACCAATTCTGAAGTTTTGTCTCGAATAAACCATCGAAACAACCATGGAAACGAGACTAAATGATCATTTACTTAAATTCCAAGAAACAAATCTCACAATATTTATTAATTTTAACAATATTCATCATTTTTAATGTGAGATAAATTAGAAGGGGGAAAAGGGTTACAAACCAAGTGTTTTAGCATAGCTCATTAAGTTTTCAAATTAAGTTCTTTGCCTGTCGAGTCGAGTCCATTAAGTCAATAGAAAACACACCCTTAAACTTAATACAATCTGAAAAGGGGCCAAATCAATAGAGGATAGTTCCAAACAATGACCAAATTTACAAAAGAAAACATTTTAGGACCAAAATAGCATAAAAACTATGATATACTCAATGAAGCATCTTTAAAATCGACTCCAAATCAAATGATTTTTTTTAAGTAGACAAAATTGTAAGAATGGTCCCTGTGTTATGTCAAAACTCACAAGTTTGGTCCAAAAAGGTTGGGACTCACGCCAGTCGTCCAAAAGTTTGATTTTGTTGCGATTTTGATCCAGTTTGCTTTGAACTTTTTTATAATGACAATTTTGCCCTTACTACTTTCATTTCTATTTTTTATTCATTTTACAATTATCATAAAACAAAAAAGAAAATATAAACCTAAACTATGCCTCGCCCCATTGACATCCATTCAGTCTTCAACCTTTCACTATACTTCACATCGCCGCCACTACCCAGAAAACGAGTTTAGAGAGGAAACAACGTCTCTTTCCTTCACTGACGAGCCTCTTGTGTTTGTAGAAGACGAAGGGAGTCATCATCTTCCTCAGCGATAAGCCCCCACTGGTCCAAGTTTACAGCACGAAGACCAAGAAGAATATTCATGGCCCAACTAATTAAATGGTTTACCGACCAGTTATGTTAGTCTATCTTTCCGTTGATGTTGTTTTATTTTTATTGGTTAGATTTTATTTTTGTATATTGGGGTGAGCTTATTCTGTGGCTCATTGTGTGTGGTCCCCTCCCCCTTATCTCTAGAGTATTTTATCTCTGTCATTCCCTTGTTTTTAGTAGCTAAGAACTACAAAGAGAATTGGTTCTTGAAGAGTGCTTTTCCTCTCGAAAGATTGGGGTCAATACATTTAAGCTGCCTTTTTGTTATTCTATTTACAGTTTCATTGAGTTGTGAAGTTCAGATCTTCAAGAGACTATCAATTAGTGATGATGAGAGCGAGATAGCGCCGCCGTCATGGAGGTTTCAGATCTGAACAAGTCGAAAAACCCTAAACTATCGTCTTCGTCAGGTTTTAGTGTCACATCGTGCCGATGGTTTATAGATCGAAGCTAGGGTTTGCGGAGGTGGAAATTTGAAGATCCAAAAATGTCGACGTTAGTAGTGGTTACCTTCGGCGAACGTAAATCGCTGATTTTCTTTTCTTCCAACTGGCCGCGGTGGTGGTATTTGCTTTTAGTAAAAATCAGAAGGAAGTAGGGTGACATTCCAACAAAGATGACAAGGTTCCAACGACAGGTGGTGGTTGTTCATATTTTTTAGGCATGTATTCATATTTTGCCGATAGATGTTGTTTTTGTAGTTCTTTTTTGAGGGGGGGGTAGGGGTGGAATTTTTTTTTGTCTTTTCTTTCTAATTAAAAAAATGGTAAATTAATTAATAAAAAGGAAAAAAAGAAGGTAACAGTGGCAAATTTTTCTTTATAAAAAGTTTTGAAAATTTTGGACCAAACTCGCAACAAAATCAAACTTTTGGACCACTGGCGCAAGTCCAAACCTTTTGGATCAAACTTACGAGTTGTGACATAACATAGGGACCATTCTTGCAATTCTATCTTTTAATTATAACCAACTAATCTTTAAGGCAAAACTGTAAATTTGGTCCTTGTGGTTTGCAAAAATCTTTGGATGGGGTCCAAAAAGTTTTCAGCTTGCACAGAAGGTCCGAAATCAAGGTTTTTCTAGGTTTTTGGTTCAAAAAAGATTGAAATTACCTATTTACCCTTTTAATTTCAGTTTTGTATTTTCTTTTCTTATCTATATTAATACTTTATGATATAAAAATAAAAAACCAAGAAGATGGCCCTCTCTCTCTCTCTCTCTCTCTCTCTCTCTCTCTCTCTCTCTCTCTCTCTCTCTCTCTCTCTCTGCTAGTCCGATGGATGCCAATCAATGGTGGGCAGAGGGACGGAGTTTCGATGGTCGACGAGAACGAAGCGACGAAGGAAAAGGGGAAGACCTTTGGGGTTTGGCTAGATCGAAGGAATGAAGGGAAAAAGCAGTGAAGCTTCTTCCTGCTCTAATGGTGATGTGCGAAGCGGGAAAGGTTCGATCGGCGACGAGGGAGGTCGTCTCTGAGGTTTGACGAAGCCGAAGGGACGAAGGAAATGGTGGAGTGTTGCGAGCAACAACAACGAAGAAGTCGGGGTCCTCGGTGGGTTTGCTCGACGGAAGGGAAGAGGAGGGTGCGAGGGGTGG